GTCTATTCGAGAGTTCTAATAATTTTATGTCATCCACATATACAATTATTATAGAAAATAATTTTCTAGACATTTTTCATAAAAATACAATGACATGTGTATTTATTTGTATATTTCTCTCTTAGCAAATATTCATTGAGATAACTGTTCAATTTGATGGAGTAGCTTTCTCGAGATCCAAAATTATCTATATCTGAGATATTAAACCCTTTAGCGAGTTTCAATAAATATCATTATCAAGTGAGTCATATAAGTAAGATGTCACAACCTCCATCATGTTCAAATTAAGCCCTTCATGTGTTACAAGTCTAATTAAAATTTGAAAACTAATTAAATCTACTACAGGTGGATATGTTTCTTCAAAGTCAATCTTAGGTCTTTGTGAAAATCATTGAGCCGCAAATCAAGCTTTATATTCTTATTTTACTTTTTCACAAAAAAATGCATTTATATCCAATTGATTTCACACCTCGAGGTGTTTGGACTACAGGTCCAAAAGCGAGTTTCTTGTAAAGTGCGTTTAATTCTTCTTCATTTGGATCTGTTCATTTTGGTCAACTCTCACTTTGTCAACAATCTTTGATAGAATTTAATTCACGATCCTCATTATCATTTATCATATTTAGCACTATATTTTATCCAAAGATATTGTCAATATTGACTTTATTTTAGTTCCATCATATTCCATTTATGACATAATTTATTGAGATCTCTTTATTTCATAAATTTCAGGTACCCTTGATTAATTTTTCAGGAACTAAAAATAAATTATATTAAAATATTCTTAGAATTTTCATATCCTCACTTGGGTCAACTTTAATATTAACTTAGTTGCTTGGTAGAGGATATTAATATTGGAACCAACTTTACTACCATGCTTCATGCACGGTTTCAATTCATTTTCACTATTAAATAATCTAATAGGAAAATCCACTTCGATTGCAGTATTGGCAGCTATAATTGATTGTATAAAATTTGTAAACGAACAATCTTTTGGACTTCTGATTCATATTGGTTTGTACGAGAATCAAGATCTAAAATTGTTCGTTTGAACTTCTTGTTCACGATTTCAATTGCATATTATCTCCCTCTAATATTGGGAATATCAACTTATCAAGTGATAATCGACCTACTGGGTTGCAATCAAGTATTTGATTATTTTATCAATTTATATCCTCAAAATTGGGATTCATATCAAATATATTTTTCCAATATTCTTTTATGACTCATCTTAGTGTGTTATATTGGAGCAATTGGAAAATACACAACACATCCAAAAGTTCATTTAGATGAGAAGTATCAGGTTATTAACCTGAAATATATTATATCAAGGAAGGAGAAATGTATCACAAGGTGTTGGCTTGATGCGAATAAATTTTGTAATACCATACTTTGGGTGTTTCAAATATATAATTTAGAAATGATGATTTTATAAGTATCAACCATATAATTAACGTTATACGTCTAAAGAATTGATCTTCAAGTCCATTTTTTATGAACATATAATACATAATGTTCAATATCAATTTTAATAATATATATGATACTAATTTAGGAATTTCTAAAAAATCCAGAAAACAAGATCTTAGTCTAGTTAGTTGAGAAAATAATTTCACAAATTTCTGGTTGTGAATAGACATATGTATTTTTAGTCGGTGAAACAATTAATGTCATAAAAATTCAATTTCTCAAAATTTTCTTTAGAAACACACAAATTTCATTGGATTGAATAAACTTATGGTTCTTCAAAATTAATTATCGCATCATAATACATTCGAGATGACCTAACCAATTTTGCCAACAATACATTTAAATGTGATTCGTAAACTTCTGGTATACACTAGTACATATGATTATATTTCTAATTTGTTTCAATCCATAGTAAATAATAAAATTATTATATAAAATATATTTTTAAAAATAGATGGCATAGAATTTAATTATAATTTCGACATCTAAATCAAATATTTATAAATTTTGATAATAATCATAAATTAATAATATTCAATTTTGAAACAAGTATTTATCAATCTTAATAAATTTACAATCGAAAAGATTTTTTTTTCTACTTATATATGTCATAAAAACTTAATACCTATTATGAAAACAAAAATAAAAAAATAAAATTATCAAATAGAATAAATTATTATATTGGAGAGAATGAAATTACTATTAAATTCTAAATATTTTATCAAAAATAATTTTTTAGTAGTCATTGGATTTTAATAAAAAAATCTTCAGGAACTCAACAACTTTTTTTTTTTGAAGTTTTTCAAGAACTCAATTATAATTTTTTTATGTGATTCTTCGGGACCTCAATCACAAATATTTTATTAATAAAAATAATAATATTTGTAATATTGTTCAATCTTTTGGGGATGCTTCATAATTTATTCAGAAACAATATAAATTTATTATTATTTTTTATCCTTCATGAATACTTGATAAATTCTTCAGGAACTCTATAATAAATTATTAATTTGTTATCCCCTTTAGGGATGCTTAATAAGTTCTTCAGAAACTTTATAATAATCTATTAATTTGTTATCCTTAAGGGATGTTTAATAAATTTTTCAGAAACTATATACCAAACACATTATTTTGTAATGCTTCAGATATTATTGATAATTTAATAAATTATAATATAGAAGCTTACCACAACGTATTATAAAATAAAGAGAAATAAAGAATAAAAACATAAAATAATTATGTATTATTTCATCAGTGTATCATATACAATGAGATAATTTTATTTATAGGATATCATATAAATAATATAATAAATACAAATTGATTATGATTTTAAATTATTTATTTTGAAATTATAATTATAATTTATAACTATTTATTCAACTTCTTAATAGGATAGTCAATTTTAATTAATACAGATTAAAATAATTATACTAATTATATTTAATTCTTGATTTATTTTATTATTTTTATATAACTTTAATACTAGTTATTAACCATTTCGAACACAATTCTAGTAAATTTAAACAATATCAAATATTGTACTCCAAATTAGAAGAAAAAAATATTGTGCTTTAAAATTTACTACAAAACATTCAACTACTCCTTATTTTACTTACATTTTAAAATTTTTTAATCTTAATCTTGTCTACTAATAATATTTGCATGTATTTGTAAAAATTTATTAAAATTTTAAATTTTAATAAATAAAATATATTTTTTAATTTTAAAAACATTTACAATAATACAATAATTCTTTTTATAAATCTCATTCATTCATTACCACCACTATTTTATATATAATTCTTATTTTGACCTAATTAATAATTTATATATATTTTTTATTCAATTTTATTAAATATCTATTTGTAGTTAATTGCAATATTTTTTTAAGATTTTTTTATACTTATAAGTATTTTGTTTGTTATTTATATTGTTTTTTTAAATATATTTATATGTATTAATATCAGTATTTATATTCCTCAATCCGTACAAACATACAAGTCTATTATTAATTATTAAATATAAATACAGGTTCTTCTTTAGTTTTGTTAAAAATATATTTTACATCATTTAAAATTATTTAATTCATATAATTTTTAATAGAAACTTCTTTGTACCTCACTTAATTTTAAAAAAAAATACTTGACTCTTAACATAATACTTTAAAAAATTATATTTATAAATGATTATAAACTATCTATCATATTAAAATTTTTACATTATCTATAAAATTTGATAATAAAAAAATAATTTAATTTTGTTTTATACTTTGCTAAATCTTTTTGAATAGATCCATATTAAAATGAATTTTAGTTTATAACTAAAATACAACATAATATTTATAATATATTTTAATTTAATATTAGAAATATATAAATTGAAATTACACATAATTATATATTTATACAAATTATATTTTTTAATAATAAAATGATAATATTTATACTAAAAATTGCTATAATTATTTGTTTTAATAAAAAACATGAGACAATGATGATAAAAAATATAAATTTGTCATTCTTTTTATTCAATTTATTTTAGTATGTATTAAATATTTTTTTAAAAATTAATAAGTTATTTTATTTATCATTAAATATGCAAACAGGTTTTAGATAATGTAATTTTAATAATTTTTGTTTTTTTATTATATGATTAATAAATTAATTACATAAAATTATAATTTTATTTAATAATTTATTATTATATGTTTCAAAAATATTTATATCCCATATCATTTGTCGCCTATACCAATTGTTTGTCTTTTTTATTCTTTTATTTGTTAAAATAATTTTATTTATTATATTATTATTATTATTATTAATATTATTATTATTATTTCTATTATTATTATTATTATTATTATTATTATTATTATTTTTATTATTATTATTATTATTATTATTATTATTATTATTATTATTATTATTATTATTATTATTATTATTATTAATATTAATATTCATACTACACGACCATATATTAGAAGATTAAAATTGATATGAATCATTTTTCTTTTATTTTAAGGATAATATTAATATATGGTCTAAGGATCCTTGTCAACAACTAAATAAAAAAAAATGGAACCATCTTTCACAGCTCCTACATAGGAAACTAGTTCGATGTGATGTGATTGCAAATTGCAAGTTGTAAAGTGAACTTTGGATAATTCTACAAGTTGTAAAGTGAACTTTGGATAATTCTACAAGTCTTTATAGAATCTGATACTATCTACCTGTTCCTTTGAAAAATTCATCTCTTATTATTCCGCCAAATTTGGCAATTAAAAAGCCATCAAATTGTAACAGTTATATTATATTTTATTGTTAATTAATTTAGAAAAAGTTATTTATTTAAGAATCTTGTGTTCTTAACCCAAATATAGCATTTTTAAATACAATTTTATAATAAACAAAACAAGCACTATAAAAGAAGCATATTGCACCTCTTTCAAATTGCACTTCATCTCATAATCTTCTAAGCTTAAACCTGTTTGTGAAACCAAACTCTTCATCTTACAAAACCAAGCTATGGGTAACAAAAACTCATCAAACTCAAAAGTACATTTCAAGACAAAAAAGGTTTCTTCAATAGAACAAAACATGACGCGATTTCGAACAAAACAAGGTCATAGAATCAAAGGTCAGGCAATACTAAGAGATGATGAATTTATAGGGAAACACAAAATAGATACACCGCTTGATAATGATGAAACATTCAGTAATTTCATTCGACGTGCTAAGTATAAAATTCGAACCGTCACAATGTCCAAGTCCAACATTGATAGGGAGGAGAGTAACAACACTGTACCAGCAGATTATGAGAACTACATCAAACATTCGAAATAATAGTTTCTTGAAGAATTAAGCCTTGAAAATTGTTGAAGTGGTAGCAAAGTTTGGTGGTGAGTGCTGATCATGCGTTCTGCTTCTGATCTTCATTATTACATGAAAATAAAGTCCCAATACTGGGACATGCTTGAGATTGATTTTGTATAATTAACATTGATTTACATATTAATTTTATTTCCGCTATTATCTTACTTACACAATAAATTACTCCCTCCATCTCTACTTGTAAAACTTTTTTTTTTCTGTCTATATGTAAAACACTAAAAATTTTCAGTGAATGATATCTTTAGGAAAATTCCAAATTTAATTTATCATTAAAGATATAAATATATTTTCACTTTTAGACTATTAATAATTATAGAGAAAAATACGTAAACTAATTTTTTTTTAAATTTTAAATAACCACTTTTTTAAAAAACTTTCCTAAATAATAATTTCAAAATAAATATTAAAATCATCACTTTTCAAAAAACACATAAACTCATAGGATGCGCTATGAAAAGTGGTGCATGCTCTCTATTTTACACTAAATCATCACTCTTTGTGGCTTGTGCTTGTGTCATGTCACATATAATGTCGCATGCACTATAAGGTAAGAAGTATGCGCCACTCTTCATAGTTACAGAGTTATTTTTATTTTTTATTTATTTTAACAAAAAAATTAATAAATATAAATATTAAATATAAAAGATTAATTTATAATAATATTATAAAAAAATTGCACAATGATTGGAGATACTTTTATTAACCCCTCGACCTAAATGCCTATCTGTTCCATAGTTCGGCCTCTATATTTGTCTTTGAGATCTCATTTGATTTTTTGAGGTGTTTAGGGCCTCTTACTATTCACCTGAGCCAAATGTGCTTGGTGCGATGGTCTTGAGATATTAGTGTTACCATATAAGTCGTCAAGCATTTCTCCCTAATTTACGGAGCTACCAAATAATTTTGTGCTCGTGTTGTTGTAGTTGGGTTACGTGTGGGTGGGGTGATTGGTTGAATTTGGACATTGAATCGTTTTTGAAATGAAGCAATGGTTCTTGTGGTGTTTGAAAAACATGTGTTGGTTTGGTGCTTTGACGATGTGATGTTTGGTTGTACATTGGTTGGATATTATGGTAGGATGTGGTGGTATCATATGTGTCATCGATGTTGTGGTAAGATGTGGTGGTAACATATGGTTGGTGTGCGTATGAGTCATGCTCTTGGTTTTGTGTTCGAGTGTGTGGCATGAATTGATCGTGGGTTTGGATGGATGTGGTTTCGTAAGGTTGTTGTGTTTGGGTGGGTTGACAATGTTGTTGGGTTTGGTAATGTTATGGAGCTGGTTGTTGGGTGTATGATGACGAAGCTCGTTGTCATGGGTCAATCAAATATGTTGGGGGAGACATAAACAAATTTATTGAAACTGATGTATACCAATTCATATAATTTCTAATTGGTCTAACGCCATTCTGCATTGGTTCATTTATGACTTGCTGATGTTGGTGCCTCCATTGACGACATACATCTCTAGAGAATTTTTTCAAATTAGTATATCTTTATTGGTCATCGACTCTTAATTTACGCCATTCTCCAAAACACGTCCGAGGATCTGGGATTTGTTGCTGCATGCTGAATTGCAGTTTCACACGGTCACTCTAGTGCATCTCCATAGTAGAGAACACGATGAATGCTATTTTTGCAGTCCAAACTACAACATCATCATGGTTAATCTCACGGTCGACACCCAGATACGGCCTCCAGACAAACTATAGAAGAAAAATACATTAATCTCAAGGTAATATTAAACTAAATTAACGAGATGTTTAGTTGTAATACCTCGTTGGGTCCAATATGAACCAGAAGATTTTGATAGACTATTATAGCGTATTTTGGAGTTTTGTTGTAGTTCATCCCTAGAACGGACCACCTATTCTGAAAATAGTGAAAATAAATCAATTATTGTTGTTTATAATATAAAGTAAGCAAGTTAAATAATGATATAAACTTACTTTGTCACGTAGGGGAATGTGATAGGCTTCTCGTTCACGGGGAAAGTGTCGGCATTCTCGACCAACCGCATGTTTGGAGCAAAAAAGCGCAGGAATAAAATGAACAAGTATTATTCCATGCATTTTTACACAAAGAATTATATAGATGAGACAAAACAGATAAACCCCAACTATATGTGTTTATTTTATTGAAGTCTCTTAACAAAGGTAAATACATAATATTTATCGTATTACCAGTAGTTTCCAGAAATAAAAAGTGGCCAAATAGTATCATAATATAACACCGAGTTTTGATTATTTTTTTCTTGCTCAGTCAAATTTTCAGTTAATATCATAGATGAATAATGTTGTTTAAGATACTTTAGATTAAAACCTTGGCCCCTTTCCGTATCTTCAAACAAGGGGGCATCCATAAGTTCCTCGCATATCGCATTGTCTTGGTTAACTCAACCATTAACAGCCTTACCATTAATAGGTAGATCCAATAGCATATACATGTCCTCTAGGGTGACATTGCATTTACCACATGGAAGATGAAACATGTTTGTTTCGGGTCTCCATCTTTCCACCAAGGCGAGAATAAAACTGACATGTAGTAAATATGGTTTTATATGTTCGTCATGTGGGACATATTCGTCTACACGAAAACAAAATACCTTTGGATCCTATTAAAAAGTAATTAAGGAAAAGTATTATTAGAAGAAATTTATAAATCTCTAGTATTGTAAAGAAAAATAAAAACTACAAAGGAAGTAATGTTGTTGACGGTTCCTCTATGTTGCTCACACATGGTTAATAGAGCCATTTTTGGAATGTTCTCGTGGAATCAATGAATTATATATTCAAAGGTATCAGAAACTTACCGATAACTGCATTGGTGAGATCAACCTATTTTAGATCAGGGTCACTGTTTGAGACAAGGGGTTCAGAATGGAGTTCATTGTTACAATATGGTCACTTGATTAGTGAAAGCGCTATGAAACTTATTCAAGAGGAAAATGCCAAAGCTAACATACATGGTGTTATAATGTTTGACTGTATGAAAGATTGGGTAAGTGTACATGAGACAATGAATCATAATAAGGGGAAGCCAAGGGGATATTATGAGGTCGAACTAGATAGAGGTTGGTATTGTTGGTATTGCATAAAGTTTCAAGCTTTTCACACGCCTTGCTCCCATGTCATAGCAGCATGTTTGCATGCTCGCCTGAACTCTTTAAGACACCTATCCCCTATTTACAAAGTCAGAAACATATTAAAGGTGTAAATCAATAGATTCTTGGTGGTAGCAAATCATGATTATTGGCATACTTATAAGGGGACATTGTTTAGCATAATGAGTATTTGCAAAGGAAGAAGAAGGATTGCCCTAACAGCACGCGTATTCGAACCGAAACGGATACGACAAATAAAATGGTAAGATTATGCAGTACATGTGTTGCGACTGGATTTAAAATCAAGAGTCGCCACTAGTAGTTTTTATCCTAAGAAAGGGAATCTAATAGGAAACCCTAATTTGTAAACAGAGATTCTAAGTTTCAGTCTTCTTTAGACGAAAGGGAGGTGTTAGGCACCTTTCATCTACCTTATTCTTAAGGATACTAGGTTTAGGTTTAACAGTTAGGTAAAAAGGGGTTTTAATTTTTTTAATAGGGGAAAAGGGTTTTAATTTTTAATAGGGGAACTCGCCACGATTTTAATCGTATGCCTACGTATCCTCTTATGAGGAATCAGAGTCCTAATTCGTAGTTCGTACAGGTTTATGCTTTTTAGGGGTTGCAAATGTATTTTTAATCGCCTGGCATTTTGACTGGGTGTAGAGATTGTAGAATTTTAGACTAAATGCGCGATTAGTCAAAATATATTTGAAACCCTTTAGAAAAAATTGATTGCTTAGATTACTTTATTGCGAAAAATAGGTTTAAGATTTGTTGAGTATTTTTTAATGATATTAATTATGAAAACTCTAAATTAATGCATGATTTAAAAAATATTTTAATGTAATAATATATAAAAATAAAATACTAATAATAATTATTATAACAAAGAAATAAATAATAGTAATAAAAAAGAAATAAGAAAAATATAATACAATAAAATAAATAGATAAAAAGTATAGTATAAAAGAAATAATAATAAAAAAATATAATAATTTAATTAACTCAAGGGGGGGGGGGTACGTTTAAAATTGGATAGTAAAAAGATAGGGGTGTGAAAAGTCGGGGCCTGAATTCAAATATTGAATTCAGGCCCAACAAGCCTGGGGTGTGTGTGTTTTAACTAATAAGCATAATAGGGGGTCTGTTAAGGAGACTGGGGCCAAGTTCAGATATTAAACTGGGCCCAGAGGCAAGGGGGGGGGGGGGGGTAGGCCCAAACACGTTTTTTTTGGGAGGCCTGGCTAATCGTATGCGTGAGGGAGTATAAAGATTATGGTGAGACTTGGCCTATGACCGTTTGATGAAGATCACGCAGATGAAATTGAAATGTGCATGCTAATTATTACGGACGCGAGGACATTGGATCAAAACAGAACATAAGTTATTATTTTTTCATTGTACAATTCATTTTCTGCTTTATAATAACTCTCCATTCTCTCTCTTTCCCTAATATTTCTTCTTCCCCAAATCACCAAACCCTAAAAACCAACCCCGCGGTGGTGCTACCGTATCACCCAACCCAACCGTAAATCAACCCATAACCCTTAATCGAAATCAAAAAACAAAGAAAAAACCTAAACTTAGTTTTACCCCTTCGCGATTCCAGCTTCCGAGTTTCTGTCCGATTTGCTTTTTTTATCCTTCCTCCCTCTCTTTTGCAGGTTATGATGGAGATGGCAGCGGCACGATAAAGCAAGAGCGGCGACGATCTAGGTCACGCGATTGGGGTTTCAGATATTGAAACCCTAATCGCTTCCAACTTTGGTCTTCAACGGCGAGACAAGGGGTTCTTCTTCAACTTTGGTTCTTCAAATCCTTCTTCTTTCTTTCGCCTCCATATTTA